AATCAAGGACAGAGCCCTAGGGTCAACTCCCCAGAGATTCTCATTAAGAGAGTCTGGGTTGGAGTCTGAGGATGTGTGTTTCTAAAAGACTCCTCAGTGATTCTGAGACTGCTTTAAGAAACTGTGGTGGTAACATTAATTTTGAGCTTGGCTGATAATGTTACTGTGGCTTTTATCCAGATACGAGGCAAAGGAAGAAATTGTTGTTGTTGTGTATATGACTAGAACTTCTATAGGAATCAGAAGAATAAGTTCTCACAAGCCAGAGCCCAGGAAGCAAGTGTCTGGGACCAGCTTCTCTGACTTAACAGTGGAAATCAAAACCCAAGATCAAGCAGTGAAGTGGGATGACTTTAAATGGCTGCTCAAAGGGATTTTACATAAATATGCATATTAAATGGCTGTATCCTGCAAATGCACAATTGACTATATGTTTTATATAGTGGAGATAATCTCAACTCTATTTATGTTCTTTGTATCTTTTGTAAAAGGAGCTAAGGAGTTCATGTGTTAAGGGAATCTTCCCGTAACCTCACTAAGAATAAAACTAGATCTGTTTGGACATGAGCTTTTCAAGGGGAATGCTGCTGCCATTAGGATGCCAGATACCAAGCCAAGCACCCTCTCCTGGGCTTCTGCCCCTGGGGTTAGTTGCATCAAGAGACTTAGACAACCTGGCTCTTTGCTAAAACCTGTTTGGAGCTTTGAATGGAAGGTGGGTCCTTCCTATAAGGTCCTGCCTATTTTCCCTCCTATTTTTGTCATTTCTTTGTTTTTTTCTGCTTGGGATAGTAAAGTCTCCATTTGTTTCAAGAAACAGAGATGAGCAGGAACTGATTTAAAGTTCCTAAAGTGCCTAAGAGGACCATGGATAGGACTGTAGTGACCCCAGGATGATCAGAACAGGACACTGGGGAGCCTGGAGAGCTCAGACCCTGTGTTTTCTCCATGTGCATCCAAGTCATACTCTCTACCGCATTCATTACAGAATATGATGAGTCCTACAGAATATGGCCACCCTCAGACCCCAAGCATGTGCAGCATACCTCTTGACGCCTGAGGACTCACTCCAGCTTCCTTGCTACCTCTCAGTTCCATTTACAGCTTCCACTCAAGTTTGGGTGCTCAGCCCTGTTCCCCATCAAAATGGAGGTGGGAAGGAGTGATATAAAAAGTGGGAGAGAGAAGGGCAGTTAGAAACAGGGGGCACATAATCTTCTATGTAGACATATATCTCAAAAGTGATCCTGCCACATTACATGATATTCCAGATATCTATTGGTTGTGTAAGAAGCCATACTATTTAGAAATATAACTCCTGATAGGAGGATTGATTTACAGATACCACAAAAAAAAAATTAAGTGAGAAAAAGCAACATTACAGAGACTCCAATACACAGACAGTGTTGAGAAATAATTTGTAGCATGGAATGCTACTCATCTCCAAAGTAATTCGAAATACAGGCTTTTGCCCACTGGCCGTTTGCTGGGTTTTTTTCAGTTGTTCTTTTTTTTTTTTTTTTTTTTTGGCTTGGTTGGTTTGGGTTTATTTATTTATTTTGAGGACCAACACTGAAGGGAATGGAAAATCTTTCCAGGAGAGTTGTAAGGGTACCATAAAGAAAAAAGAGCTCTTTTGATAAGGAGCTAGTGGCCTTGTGAAGCCTTCCGTGTAGCCATACTTCTTGCCCCTTGTTATTAAAGCAAAACCCAGAAGAGAAAAATAAAATTTCATAAAAAATTAAAACAAGTACAAAATTATTAATAGAGAAACTCAATGAGATGTATTAAGAACAGAAATCACCAGTCTAAGAAGTGGAGGTATGAAGGGGGGAATATAGAAAAAATATATATATTTTATTCCAAAATAAATGTTTAAGACATTGCTAATGTAAACAATAATTGAAATTAAATGGGAGAATAATACAAAAGCAGAGAAAATGAGTAAAAATTAAGAATGGTTGAAAATAAGATTCAAATGGTTAAAATGGAAAAATTCAACAGAAAAAAAATGAGAATGTAGCATGTTAAAGTAATAAACCAATATAAAATAAAACAAATCTCAGATAAACTTTCTGATAAAAGCTCAGAAAGTTGGAATAGACAAAATAAATGAAGTATATATTAAAAGCTGAAATAGAAAGAAAATTAAAAGTGATAAAGATTTCTTTAAAGGCAAATAAAGGAGAACTAAGTAATTAAGAATATCAAAGATAAAATGAAGCTGCATTTCAGAGGGATGAGAAATTAAAATCAGCATGGCAAAACAAAAGAATAAAAAATTATAAAGCTAAAATTTTCAAAGTACAAAAGTAAAGCTAGGGAAAATTGAAGAACAGAAACAAAAAACAATGAAAAAGACTTGCTTCTTTAAAACTGCATAAATAAAACCAGGTCTCCACAGAGGCCCTCAAGAGCAGAGGGAAGAGCTATTTAACAAAAACTGCCTTATTCATAAAAACCTACCCACAGACTAAAAGAACAACCCACTGCCCTAACCCTAATTCTTCTACTGCCCACAGTCCCTAAACTCCTGCTGCCACATGCAGGAATTAACAATAAGCCAAATCATATTATGGAAAGAAAAGAAGGAGAGTTTCTTTTATTCGTGTTAACAGCCTTTAGGAGGAGGAGAATTTTATTTGCCATGCTCCCATTTCTTGACATATAAATCTATGTCTCATAGTGTCCAACTTTCTGTTTTTCCCTACAGTGAGAACACAAAGAATTCCTTGGAGAGCAGCCTACGGCATCTAAAATGCCATTTCACCTGGAACTTGATGGAGGGAGAAAATTCCTTGGATGATTTTGAAGACAAAGTATTTTACCGGACTGAGTTTCAGAATCGTGAATTCAGAGCCACAATGTGCAACCTACTGGCCTATCTAAAGCACCTCAAAGGCCAAAACGGGGAAGCCCTGGAATGCTTACAGCAAGCTGAAGAGTTAATCCAGCAAGAGCATGCTGACCAAGCAGAAATCAGAAGTCTGGTCACCTGGGGAAACTATGCCTGGGTCTACTATCACATGGGCCGACTCTCAGATGCTCAGATTTATGTAGATAAGGTGAAACATGTCTGTGAGAAATTTTCAAATCCATACAGCATTGAGTATCCTGAGCTTGACTGTGAGGAAGGGTGGACACGGTTAAAGTGTGGAGGAAATCAAAATGAAAGAGCGAAGGTGTGCTTTCAGAAGGCTCTGGAAAAGAACCCAAAGAACCCAGAATTCACCCCTGGACTGGCAATAGCAAGCTACCGTCTGGACAACTGGCCACCATCTCAGAACGCCATTGACCCCCTGAGGCAAGCCATTAGGCTGAATCCTGACAACCAGTATCTTAAAGTCCTCCTGGCTCTAAAGCTTCATAAGATGCATAAAGAAGGGGAAGAGGAAGGTGAAGGAGAGAAGTTAGTTGAAGAAGCCTTGGACAAAGCCCCAGATGTAACTGATGTACTTCGCAGTGCAGCAAAGTTTTATCGAAGAAAAGATGAGCCAGACAAAGCTATTGAACTGCTTAAAAAGGCTTTAAAATACATGCCAAACAATGCTTACCTGCATTGCCAAATTGGGTGCTGCTATAGGGCAAAAGTCCTCCAAGTAATGAATCTAAGAGAGAATGGAATGTACGGGAAAAGAAAGTTACTGGAACTAATAGGACACGCTGTGGCTCATCTGAAGAAAGCTGATGAAGCCAATGATAACCTCTTCCGTGTCTGTTCCTTTCTGGCCAGCCTTCATGCTCTAGCAGATCAGTATGAAGAAGCAGAGTATTACTTTCAAAAGGAATTCAGTAAAGAACTTACTCCTGCAGCAAAACAACTGCTCCATCTGCGGTATGGCAACTTTCAGCTGTATCAAATGAAGTGTGAAGATAAGGCCATCCACCACTTTATAGAGGGCGTAAAAATAAACCAGAAATCAAGGGAGAAAGAAAAGATGAAAAACAAGCTGCAAAAAATTGCCAAAATGAGACTTTCTAAAAATGAAGCAGATTCTGAGGCTTTGAATATTTTAGCATTCCTGCAGGAGCTGAATGAAGAAATGCAACAAGCAGATGAAGACTCTGAGAGGGGTTTGGAAACTGGAAGCCTCTTCCCCTCAGCATCAAACTGGAATGGGAATGAAGACTAGAGATGTGATGCCCATTAGGCTACTGCTGAAAGGGAGCTGAAACTCCTCCACCAAGTTGGTATTCAAAATATGTAAGGACCGGTATGGCAAAAGATTGGACTAAGACACTGGCCATACCACTGGATTGATGCCTGAATTGCTGAGTCTTGGGAAAGCTCAAGGAGTTATGGGAGAAGAACCAGATTGGGAGGTAGGTCCAGGGGTTTGGTGATAGAGTTATTTCTCAATTGACTTCTTGAGTGCAGCTTGAACTGTAACATTTGCTTAGTCACCTTTAGTGGAGTAATCTATTAGGCTTGTTTCTATGTTTATATAAAGCAGCCAAATCCCTCACATATAATATCGAAGTCCATTTTTCAGTGTTGTTCTACACTTGGAGTCATTCTGGATCCCAAAGAGGTTAGTCCTAATGTGCTGAGTTCATCCAAAAGCTAGGGCACCAAAGTCTAAATAGGGCTCGGTATCCCCGCCTCTTACCTCTGCTTCCGTCCTCCTGCTTCCAAGCCTATCATCAATCTTGAGTATTCTACAGTATGTGAATTCAAGTGCCTGATTAACTGAGGCTGCAACATCGTTTGAGAAGAGAACAGAGAACAGGAAGAGACATAGCTAGGAGCAACGGGTACAAAAAGCAATGTGTACAAGACATTCAGCAAGTATAGAGAGAGTTTACCTCTACTCTGCCCTCCTCATAGTCATAATGTAGCATGTAAAGAATAAAATGGGATTCTGTATAACACACTAGAAACCAACATACTGTATTTCTTTAAAAACCTGTGTGAAAAAATAAATGTTCCATCAATAGGGATAGGGAAAAAGTAAGCAAAAGAGAGAAAGAAAGGAATACTGGTTTATCTTTGTAGATTGTAACTAAAGGGAGAAATTTTTACTATTTTAGCCACTATTAGGAACATTTTTTTTTTTGGTAAAATGAAGATTGACTTTGTTCAAATGCTTTGATGAACCTGGTTTGAGATAATAGGAAAGCAACAAAATGGGGGAACCTGGTGACTAAGGGCCTAGTGCAAGGTCTTGTGAAATGCCATTGATAATAGATGGTGGGGTTCCCCCCCATTAGAAATGTTGTATATTAAGTGATATAAACACTTCTTTTAACTCTGAAAATCTTCAGAGAAATCACAAAATTCACGGTATGCTTGAAACAATTGGGATTTTCTAGGTGAACACTGAATGGCCTAGACATCAAAGTTGGTGTGAACCAAAATGGTGTCAGCTGACCCAGCATGAAACCATCAGCCACACTCTGGGTTGGAAATGTTTGCCTGTTGGAATTAATTTAAGCTTAAGTATATATATTAACATTATTTTATGGAGCAATTAAAACAATAAAAATTCAAGGTTTTTTAAAGTTAAAAATTCTAACAACTGTAACAATGGTTTTTGTGTTATTTTCTGTATTAAAAATCCTGTTGCATGCATTTGAGGTCATCAGTGTGCACGATTTATATTCCTGAAAAAGTCATACATTTTCATTTATACATTAATAAATAAATATAAAACATAAAGCAGTGATCTGGTTCATCTGGAATTTTGCTGTACTTTAAATCTTTCAGACTCCACTTTAAGAGTCCAAGTCTTCGGATAACAGTTGCCATCTCCCACCTGCTACCATTGACCTACGTGAACACAGACACTCTGCCTCCACCTTGATGGTGGGTGGGCTGCTGCCCCTTTCTTTGTTAAATTTTGTGCTTTTGTCACATTTTCTCTATTCTGACCTCTATTATGAGAAATAAGTTTCACTGATTCCATTTTATGCCCCATCTTGGACACAGTCCAAACGTGTTAGAGAGTCTTCCCTATTAAGTAAAGAATAGGAAGAGACAGGAAGCCCTGAAGTCTCTGTTGCTTTTTAAGAGTCCTCTAGCGGAAAACACAAATCACACCAACTGCAAAGGTAAACTCATTTCTTTGGATCGATATGGACAAGTGTACGTTTCAGAGGAAGATCTAGCTCGCCTTGCCTGAGTAAATTAATCTGGTGCCTGGGAAGGAACACCACACATATTCTGAGTGGAAGGTTAAAATGGAGCGGTATGCTGACCTTGGCAGAGGACCATTGACCTGTGTGTGCTAAAGATGGATGTGTGGAATCTTGTCCTTACATGTCATGCCACCAATCCCTTGCTGGAACAGGATCCTGAGTGGGAAAACACCAGGAAGGATAGAAAAAGGAAACATAATATATTATACTTAATATGTATTTGAGGACTTCAAGTTAACAAATGATTGGAAAACAATAAAGAAAAATATGTACATAGCTCCTATTTCCTGAAATATCACTATCCAGAAATAATAAATGGAGTTACATTAATTGGGCTTGACTTGTAATTCCCTGCCTTTTAACCACATTTCCCAGGGCAGGACATTTGACTCCCTTCATATATTCAAGTACAGAACACAGCAAGCCCCTAGTAGATGTCTCCTACATGCTAATGAACATGTCTGTCAGAGTTACCTGATCACATCTGCTACTTGTGTAGCTTCAGCACTCGTATCCAATAATGACCATTGCCCCTAAAACTGCCTTCAATACATCTCACATTCTCTGTATTTGATTTCCACCTTGAGAGTATTAATATCTCTGCCAACAATGTTTTCAAGTGTGTTAGTGCCAGTGAAAGAGTAAGAAGAATTCCTCTTATCTCTGTTGGTTCCAAGTAGTTCTTACTTATTTCTCAGCCTCAGAGTCCTCAGTGGAAAAGATTCATCAACTTTTGCTTGTCTTTCTCCATAGAGCTCAGACACAGTCCCTGGGGATGGCTGACCTTGAGTCATACTCCACTTTCACCTTTCTTTATACCCAATGTCAACTGACACATCCCATGCAACTGGATCCAGTGCAATTGGAAGACTGGAAGTAGTAGAATCCTGATTAGAGCACAGATAGGCTTCGTGTTAGGATCCCTACCATATGTGCAATCAACGTTGGATGCCAACCTGAGTGTTGTAGTTTCCAACCTGATGCCATATGTACCCATTTCCTTGTTTCCTCCATTTGCCCCATTGCCGATTTTGGAAAAAAGACCAACTTACACTCGTGTAAGAAATTTTCCCTATTATTAATAGTGCAGCTACCTCATTGCTGATTATCTACACATTCTAGGGAGGCTCCAAAAAGGGAAACTGATTAAAATCCTTTGATGTACGTAGGTGTATGTACCTGTAAGAAAGGCATCCTCAGCTCTACATGGGGCCTCCCTTCAGCTGCTTTACAAACAGACTTAAGACTAGAGAAGAGATCAGAGGCAGGATTTGTTGGAAGCCTGTGGAAACAAATCCCAACAGTTCTGCATCTCCTCTGGTCCTCTGCAGGCTGCTATTGAAAAGGGAGCTACCAAACAGTTCAACAATACGTATCAACCCCAGACCCTTGGTTTATGTCTCATTTGTTTTGGAAACATAATGAGTCAAAGTTTGTGTTATTTCTGAATTGGGTAAAATGTAAAAATATACAGTAAATTCTACCCTGAACTTGGAAATTCCTGAAACCCTTCTAGAGACCTGGAAATTGGCCCCAGTGTGTTTATACAGATAAAATCTAATTAAATGTTTGAAAAGTCTTTCTGTTACCTTCCCAGCATCCTGGATATCCCAAGTAAATGAGCCCATTTATATTCTGCTTTTGATTTACAGATATTATGCAGCAGAGACACTGTGATATAAAAGTTATAAACCACTGAGCACACATTTTCCTCTTTCTCATTTTTAAATTAAACTTACTAATTGGTTGTTAAGTATTACATTTAAAAACCTAAACCTGGGCCTGGCGCGATGGCTCACGCCTATAATCCCAGCACTTTGGGAGGCCGAGGGGGTGGATCATGAGGTCAAGAGATCAAGACCATCCTGGTGAACATGGTGAAACCCCATCTCTACTAAAAATACAAAAATTAGCTGGGCATGGTGGCGCAAACCTGTAGTCCCAGCTACTCGGGAAGCTGAAGCAGGAGAATTGCTTGAACAAGAGGCGGAGGTTGCGGTGAGCCGAGATCGCACTTCAGCCTGGGTAACAAGAGGGAAACTCTGTCTCAAAAGAAAAAAAAAAAAAAAAACTAAACCTGGCGGGGTGCAGTGGCTTATGCCTGTAATTCCAGCACTTTGGGAGGCCGAGGAGGGTGGATCACCTGAGGTCTGGAGTTCCAGACCAGCCTGCCCTATATGGTGAAACCCCGTCTTTACTAAAAAAAAAAAAAAAAAAAAAAAAAAAAAAGTTAGCTAGGTGGGGTAGTGTGCACCTGTAATCCCAACTACTCAGGACGCTGAGGCAGGGGAATCTCATGAACCCAGGAGATGGTTGTTGCAGTGAGCTGAGATGGCACCACTGCACTCCAGCCTGGGTGACAGAGGGAGACCTTGTCTCAAAAACAAACAAACAAAGCTCAAACTTACTTTTACATATTTTTAATTAGTGAAAAAGCCTACATAAGTTGGAGTTTTAAAACATATGTATAAAACTATGTAACATATCTTCTAATTGTTGGTTAAGGAAAACTAGTGTTTAGTAGAATATTTTAAAATATGGAAACATTTTAAATAATGAGTAAGGCTTTTAGGTTATGGAAAAAAGTTGATTTGTCTCAGTGTTAAAAAGGAAATTATTATTTCCACCAGTAAGATATGAGAAATATTGTTTCCAGCATCTTCACCAATACTGAATATTACCAGTCTTTTTGTCAATTATATTTCCAAAAAAGGCAGTGGCGCATAGATCACAGGTAAATAAAATGTTCAAGTATAGATTCTGTATGATGGAAATCCTCTCCACACCCAGAATGCTAGTTTTCTCACCTCTCTCTGTCTCCCCACCTCCTCTCGCTTCCTTTTTCTCTTCTCCTTTCTCATTTTTATCTTCCTTTTATGTCTTCTTCCTTCAAGTTCTCTTTCTCGAGATGACTTTACATCTCTGTGCATGAAGCGGAAAACATCCCTGCCAGGTTACCTATCATTTCTCCTAATAATTCAATGAAGCCAGGTGCAATGGCTTACGCCTGTAATCCCCACATTTTGGGAGGCCGAGGCGAGGGGATTGCTTGAGCCCAGAAGTTTGAGACCAGTCTGGACAACATAGTGAAACCCTATCTCTATAAAAAATACAAAACAGCTGGGCTTGGTGGCATGCACCTGTAGTCCCATCTTCTTGGGATGCCGAGGTAGGAGGATCATGTGAGCCCAGGAGGTGGGGTCTTCAGTGAGCCGAGATCGTGCCACTGCACTGCAGCCTGGGCAACACAGTGAGATGAGACACTGTCTCAAAAAATAAATAATAATAATTCAACAAAGACTTTATAGAATCACTCCCTTCTGATTAAAATTCCAAAGAAAAATCTGTTTGTCTCATTTCAAGTAACTATCCATTACCGATAGAATCCAGTTGACCAAAAGAATGAGATCATATGCCAGAAAAAGCAGGGGATTTGAGTGTAGGCTTTCTGCAGGAATGAGAGCAAATCGTCCAAGAAGGAGACATAGGAGCAGAGTGGAAATGACTGGCAGAGGACATGGCTTACATAACTAGAATACATTTACTTTAGCTTTCAATCACATGAGCACACAATTTCGTGTGTAGTCCAGCACTTAGTCTTACATTTAGAATATCTAGAATTCTAAGTAGACCAATATTTCTCAAACTTCAGTGTGCAGTGCCTACTTTCATGTGCACAATCACCTGAGGATCTTGTTAAAATGTAGACTATGATTCAGTAGATCTGGATGGAGCCTGAGACTGTGTATTTCTCACAGGCTCTCAGGTCAAACCAATGCCACTAGTCTGTGAGCTACCCCTTGAATAGCAGAGGTATAGACTGAACTGCAACCAGTTCAATGTAGTGCCAGTTTTCAGTTTATCCTTTAGTCACAAATGAAGATCATACCAGCACAGTATCCTTCCCACAGCCTTCTCTCTCTTTCAATAACTCATATCTTGAGAGCTCAGACAAGAAAATCTGTATGACCTCAAAAATAAATATGGTTAATGTAAAATGGTGTAGCCACTTTAGAAAATAGCTGGGCAGTTCTTCAAATGGTTAAACAATTACCATATGACCCAGCAATTCAATTCCTAGATACATACCTAAGAGAAAGGAAAACATATGTTCACACAAAACCTGCGCATGAATGTTCTTAGCTGTATTCATAGTTGCATTATTCATGATGGCCAAAAAGTGGACCCATCAACTGATGAATTGATATATTAAATATGGTATATCCACATAACAGAATATTATTTGGAAAGAAAAATAATTGAAGTACTTACTGATACATTATACAACACAGATGAACCTTAAAAACATGCGAAGTGACAAAAGGAAGTTTAAAAATGTCACATATTGTATGATTCTGTTTATATGAAATGTTCAAAGGAGGCAAACCTGTAGAGGTAAAAAAACAGATTAGCAGTTGCCTAACACAAGGGGAGGGGGGTGGGTGGATGGAAGATGACAGATTGAGAACGTTCTATAATTGATTGCGGTGATGGTTTCATAACTGTGAATATAATGAAAGCTATTGAATTGTATACTTTAAATGGGTGAATTTTATGATATGTGAATTATATTTTATTATAGCTGTTAAAAAATGGGCACTCTTATTCCAAATATAATAAGGAAAATTTTTCTTTTGTTATCTATTTTTACTTCTAATTTTGTTTTTATTGTGTTGTACCCATATTACCAGCATTTTGAATACTGTCATTGCTTTCCATTCCATATATATGTTAGATAAGTTATGTATTCTATTTTCTGAGTTGGGTATGATATAAAAATCTGGTCCCATCTGATTTAATATTTAAATACTCATACACAGGAACCTTACTCATTGGCAAATTGGCACAAAGAAAGAGTCCAAATACAGAAGAAAATTTGACTCCATATGTAAGTTCAAATCTGCATGTGTACAAGTTTAGGAATAATATGAATTTCTTTTTATTTATTTATTTATTTTTGAGACAGAGTCTCGCTCTGTTGCCACACACCAGGCTGGAGCGCAGTGGTGCAATCTCGGCTCACTGCAACCTCCGCCACCCAGGTTCAAGCAAATCTCCTGCTTCAGCCTCCCAAGTAGCTGGGACTAGAGGCGCGTGCCACCACACTCAGCTAATTTTTGTATTTTTTAGTAGAGATGGAGTTTCACCATGTTGGC